GGCACAGCCTGCATGGACAGCACTGCTGCCTGCCCTGCTCACTGCATTCCTGCTCACACAGCTCTGCATGGACAGCACTGCTGCCTGCCCTGCTCACTGCATTCCTGCTGACACAGCGCAGCCCCAGCAAAGCTCCATCTCTCAGGGACTCCAAACATTCCATTTAACACATTTTTATTTATTCCAACCAAGGCCATCGCTGTGTGTGAGCTCTCCCTCCCCTCTGCCTGCCCATTCCCAGCCTCTCCCTGGAGCCCAGACCCCCTGGGCTGGGCCATTCCAATCCCACAGGGATGGCTGGCAGGGAAAAGGGGAAAGGGCTCCATGTGTGAGGAAAACACAGAGACATCCCAGAGGGAATCAGGGAAGAGCTGCAGCTCCCTAAAGCTCCCAGGGCCCTTTGGAATGAGGGATGCTCCATATTCGGGTTCACTTAATGATGGATGCTCCATATTCGGGTTCACTTGGCCCCTGTGCTCACAGAAATGCTGCTCCACAAGGGCCTGCAGGGTCCCTGCACTCCTCCACACTTCCATAAAACTGCTCCCAAACATTTGAAGGGCCTGAGCCAGGACCTGCCAAGGCCACTGCAGATCCCACCGATGCCAGGGCCGAGCCAAGGGTGGATTTTGTTCTCCAGGAAAAGGCTGGCACTGAGAGCTCCTCTGCCATCAGCTCTGTCCTTTCACTGCTGCAAACCTCCCTTGCACTGATCCCCTCAGATGGCAGGGTTTTATATCAGTTCCACAATCCTGAGTTTTCTTTTCTGCTCTGAATTAGACAGACATTTAATTCCATTCTTTCTTCTGTAGGCCATTAATTTTCAGCTGAGCTTAATTAAGTTCTTTGAGACTGGAGCACAGAATGTTTTCTTCCAGTTTTTGCTACTTTTCTGCATAAAACACAATGCATTGCAAAAAGCAAAGTTGATTTCTAACAGGTGGAAAATGTCTGGCTCTAAAAATGATCTATTCAACTATTTTCACATAACCAAAATTCTCCAGTTGAATTCTTTCCCTCACCCTCAGCAAATTCAGTATATTCCTCATGGAAAGAAACTTTCCTCATGGAAACATCAGGGCCCAGGTAACCCTTTCAGTTCTTTGCACATAAAGTTATTACTTAGGGAGTATTTCCTGCACTTTTAGCTTCCTGAATGGAGCTCAGACAATGCCACTGGGCAGATCCAGGTCTATCACCAATATTTCCACGGAACACCAGCAACATCTGCTTTAACTGATCTGTGCTTCTGAAAGGGGAATGTTGGATTTGACTTAAAAATAACAAAATACCCCAAACCAAACCGAAAAACCAAACAAAACCAACAAAGCAAAAGCAAAACCCAAACAAAACCAAATGAAACAAAGCCAGAAGAGGAGACACAGCCAGCCAGGGCTGTTTCCTCTCTGACTCTGGAGTTGGGAGCTGGGATCAGGTGGGAAGCAGAGTTATACAGACAATGCTCCCTTGAGACACAGGATGTCACAGCCCTCCACAAAGTGCAATTCAAACTTTGCTTGGAATGAAAAACAGATGTGGAGAAATATCATCTTTATGCCAAAACTATGGATTTTGGCCACTTCCAAAAGCCAGAAGTTTGATCTCTGTGGAATAAATGTCTGATTTCAGAGCAGCTTCTTTGGTACCAAGGAAACCACAGGTCTGAGGAACAGCCCCAGCTCTCCCAGTGCTTCATTAGAAGAGAAACAAGTGTTTAATTACTTTTCCTTGGGGAAGTTCTTGTTCAAAGATGTTCAGAATCCTTGGCCTGAAGGTGATTTCCAAGCACCAAGCCCTTGGAGGGAGCACTGACATTTTGAATAATGAAGCATTTTAGTGGCAGCCAGCTGGGCTGTGAATGCTGCTCTGAACCACTGAAACACTCTGCTTTTGAAGTGTTTGGGGAAAAAAGCACCCAAATGTGAGCAGAACATCCCAGAGAGACTTTCCTGGTGGGAGATTTCTTGGTGAGCTGCACAAGGGCAGAGATTTTTCTTGTCTTTGTATGAAGAACACTGAAGAAGAACTGATTCCTTTCCAGGTGGAGATGTCTGGCTCGTTCCTCATGGATGCCAAAGAACTTTGGTGAACTGGATTCCACAGGTCAGAGTCCTGGAATGGTTTGGGATGGGAGGGACTTAAATCCCACCCTGCCATGGCAGGGACACCTCCCACTGTCCCC